CCAGTAATCCCCACCTGGTGTTGTGCGAGGAGGCTTTTCGGAGTATGGCGGAGAAGCTTCGGGCCTCTGCTGTGTGCGCCAAGGCATTTGGCCCGGTGCTGTTCATGGGAGAGTGCAGGACAATGGAGAGAAAGACGACTAACAGATACGGACCCACCTGAGCAAACAGGTACGACACATCCGTGACCCCGCGGAGCCCAGGTCACACCCCACTGCACTAGCTGTGTTTGTGCAGAGGAATTCCAACGGGGCCCTTTCAAATTACAAAGGCGTCACTGGGGCCAGCCTGGTACCGTCAACAGCAATGGATAAGGAAACGACAGTGGATAGGGAAATATGTTCAGCGAGATGAAAGCAGGGAGAACAGGGTTGGGTTTCATTCATGCAGGACCAGACTGATGCTCACTGGCATTCCTTTGCAGTATCATCGACGCCTCCCCCAGCAGCCACACACGCGTGCACATGCATGCGCGCATACGCACACGTACGCACACGCACACACGAGGCACACCCTTCTCCGATGACCCCCTTCACCCTGGACCCATGAACACCACCTTCCCACCACTCAGAACCGGCTGCTCCTGTAGGCTTCTGTACGCCGGCTTCTGGGGAGAATTCAGACGTTCAGCACCTTGGGGGTTCAAATCCTTCCTCTGCTCTGTGTGTGTGGGATTCGCATGGTCTTGCCCCTTTTCTGACGGTTTTCCCTGAATTCTCAAAGTTCCTTCTTCCGTTCAAAGGTATCTACTTTGACCAATTGGTATCTCTAACCTGCCCATAATGTGTGTGTGTGTGTGTGTGTGTGCGTGCATGTGTGTGTCCTGTGACAGACTCATACCCCAGCCTTGTGCCCTCCGCTGCCTGGGATAGGCTCCAGACATCTCCTTTCCTAGTGGTCAGAAGATGGATGGATGTTTAAACGTGTTTCCCATCCAACAGCCATTTTCCTCATAAAACACATCCTTCCAGCAGTTACATTTCAGAACACACATTCAGTCACGTCCGCCAAGCACAGCACAGGAACAAAACTGTATTAAATAACTGGAATATCTGAGCAGAGCCAGAGAGACTAAACACGATACATATCACGCCTGGGTAGCTTCTCTGTGAACTTCCACAGATCCCTGGCATCAACACTTCCTATCTGCCCTGATGAGCATCGCTGTCCTCCCCAGGCAAAGCTGGATCGTGATCTGGCCTCCATCTCCAACGTGGAGCAGCTACTCCGGAAAGACCCAGGTGATGCGAGGTGAACGGTGGCACCAAATCAGGGGAGCTAGAGATGTCAAGGAGGAATGCCGTAGGTTGTGATGCACCGATTTGGAAATTTTGGCCAATACCGATATTTCGTCTAATGTTACCGATAACCAGCCAACCTCAGACGCCCAGAAATCTGTAGTGAAACTGATGTTGGTGATGTTACTTCTTAAGATCTTTATGGGAATGTGCAGTGAGATTTCAACAAAGTAGTATGACTTGAGATTCGGTAGCGAGGTACTAAGTGGCGAATGAGTCAACAAAATCGGTGCTATTTTAGTAGTTGTGTTTTTCGCTGTGGTGCTTCTAACTTTGATAAAATTATGAAATTTAAATATTCACTGACTGACACATCGGACCGATGCTGATGTATTGATTTTTAAAGAACGTTGGATAATACCGATACGTTGTCCGATATATTGTACATCTATAGCCATTAGCTTGGTATACTATCGGCTTTGACCCAGTTAAAAACCCCACAGCCAAACATGCCATAAAGGTGGAACCACAAACCCTGTTCAGTGGCACCACCTGGACCCCAGTGGTATCCACCAATTCACCCCCATCATCGCTGGGTGTTGCTCTGAGATGCCCCCCTCCAGTAAATGAGTAAAGATAACGGCCTCCAGCCCCCCCTGCATTATCTGCCTAATGAAGTAGGGAGCTGAACACCTGCTGAGCGGATATGAGGTGCAGGGGGGGGGGGCTGTTTCTGGGGGTAATGATTTACCGGGCTGTTGATTCAGCCGTAGGTCCCGACCACCCAGCCGAGTCGGCCCAATCGCATGTGTGGGGCCTCCGACCACCCAGAACAACAGATTAGTGTCAAGGAAACCGCTGCCTCCCCCTGCCCCTCCCCGCTCGCACTACACTAAGCAAGAATACAGATTGTTATCGTAAACCATTTAACTCTTCAAAACGGCTGATGCTTCCTTCTGATGACTGCGCCCAAACCCGGTGTAGACGGACTGCACGAGGTAGTATGACTGTGGTCCTGAGCACCAAGACAATATGAGAGAACACTTCCTGTTTGGCTGAGGGTGGGAATGTGAAATCGTCCAACCATGTGGCAGGGGCAGGGGGTGGGGCATCACGTGGGGGGGCCTTGGGATTGAGGGGCCTATTGGCCCTCCATTCACAGCAAGAACACCTGCAAACGCAACATGGCTGTTCTGCTGTATCCAAATAAAGAGCATGGTGCATGAGTATCCTTAAAAGAATCAGGAGAAGGTCCCCAAATGATCATATGGGTGGGGCCCAGTCATGGCGCCCCAAACCCAGGTGGCCAATCCAGCACACAGCTGTGGCTGCGTCCTTCCGCCTCACACGCCTCCACTCCTGCCCTCCTGTCCCCATGTCATATGATTCTAATCACAGTCCCACCCACATAACAGGGCCCACATAATAGGGTTCATTTCTAGGCCCGTCTGGGTCTATTTTGCAGAACCAGAGGCACTGAGCCCCAGACCTGACACACATCAATGACGGGCTGCGACAGCAGCGGTTCCAAGGTCCTGATGACATTTACTCCGTGAATGAATTACCATGGTCTAACTTCACGGTAAAGCCCACAGTCTCTGTATAACAACTAATTATAGTTAAACCGCATCACATGATACAGATAGAACAACTTCCTGTCAGGCCCCTTCTTCACAAGAAACATATAAACACACTGACCTAAGAGAAACAAAGGCCACTGAATCCATATGATATATGAGCTGTGTTCACTTGATTACTCTCTCACAGGGACTCAGAATTTAAAAGAAAATTATGCTTCTATTTTCTATTTGCTACAGGCAAATACAGGCACATTGTACAGGAATTCTTTAGTTTTCAAATATCCCATCATGCTCTCCTTTAACGTCAGCCCTTAATACGGCAACCCCTGGAGAATTTTTGGGTGTTAAGGGCCTTGCTTGAGGGCCCACCAGAAATGTGACTGTTCTGTCTAAGGATGGGATTTAAACCAGCAACCTTCTGATCACAGGCACAGAGGCCTTCCCTGCTGAATCACACACCAGCACCTTTCGTGTTTAGATGGCCCCACAGAACCAGCCAAGAGGGACAGGCAGCTGGACGGCTTGGCAGGACAGAGGGACAGTAACCAGGAGACGGTTTAGGTGACACAGGGCAGGCACAGCCCCCCCGCTGACCATTTTCTCCACCAGCAGTCGGTGTCATGAGACCCACTGTGATTTACGCTCCCGCCGCTTTTGAACTTGGCAGGAGAGACACTCAGCCAGCGCTGGGCTCCTGGTTAAAAGGGACGCGCTCTTGGTGCTCGGTGCTGACCGCGTGGAATTCAAAAGCCGCTGAGAACCGCTGGCTGTGCGCTGTCAGCAGACAAGGCCCTCTGTTCCCTACCTAGAGCACCCGTGTAGCTCATTACACTTCCCAATCCTTTAAAGAGCTCCTTCTCTCAGGCTGGACAGCTCTGGGTGCTTGTGAAGTGCCCAGGGGCAGAAGAAGGGAGAATCTCTCAGGCTGGTCCATGGTTCTGTGTCCCCTGACACTTTATTGTGAACCCCCACCTGCTGAATTTAAGGTGTGCTGCATGCATGTCACCTTGCACCCACCCCCACAACTGCTTGGTAGATGCTGCGGACAGGGATCGGGGGCTCCTTGCAGATCGAATCGCCAACATTAGATTTTGGGGGTCCTATAAAGCGCTACGCCCCCTGAATCTGCCGTGGCATCCATGCCCGCTTTGACGCGAATTTCGGCTGCTTCCCGTTTTAAATCTGTGTAAAGTCGAAGAACCACGATCCACCTTCTGTGTATCGGGGAAAAGCGGTGCCTGTGTTCTAAACTCCCGCAACAGTCCCGGGATTTTAACACTTAAGCCCTAATAACACAAGTTATTAAAACACGGTTCACACTCAACTGGTCAAAATAAAACTGTCAGGCAAAAAAGAACTATTTTATGTATTTAGCACATGACCGCAAATATTAAAAGGACTCTGCGCTTTGAGTAAGAGGTAAAACATTTCCCGTAAGTCAAAAGCATAAGCCAACGCTTCCAGCTGGCGGCTCACTTCTCACCCCAGTAAAAACCTATTTAGTTTGGATTTTCTTTTTGATTTTTCGCACTAATTTAAGGCATTATTATGATCATTCAGCGATATTCCGTGGTATGAGATACACGAAATAGGATGCTACGCGTGTTTCTTAATTTAGTGTTATTATAAAACCGCTTTGCAAGCTATTTTAATACACTTATAAGTAGCCTATATCAGATATTATATCTTATATCAGATATATCTCGCTATTAATCTGCAGTATTAGTTCAAACTAGAGTACACCTCTCTCTCGATTCTTTGCCTTATGTATATAAAAGGTCTGTAAAATGGGCTAAATGCAACTGTTACCCCTAAACACACAAAGTCATCAAGGGCACCAGTTCAAGTTGAAATCGGTTGAAACACAGGAATTATATTTTTGTACGCTGGTCTACATGCAGCGCAGTCTGGGAAAATACGAGTCTATTCCGAAAAGAAAAAAAACTTTCCTGCAAATCAAATGAAAGGTAGTAAAGCGGTGCGCTGAAATAGCAGCCAGCTGGGACGGGAGAGACAAGCGGGCCATTGTGCAGTCAAACCCTGCAGCCTGGGCCAGACAGGTCCGGCTTGGTAATGCTCGGTTCAGTTCGGTCCCGCTCGGTCTCGCCGAGGGGACCCGCAGTAGTGAGCGCTGAGTTGCAAGCTTACCGGGAGGCTGGTGAAACAGAAAGTGCATTTCCTTACCTTTGGCCTCACTGGACAGAACCAGAACCAGAAGCGATAGGTAAACCCATAGGTAAAGCGCTAAACCTTCCATCGGATTGAAAGACCCTTATTCCGGCGCGACTTGCTTTCTGCAATTAAAAAAAACCCAGAAACACCAAGCATTAATGTGGAAGGATGAAAGTAAGACACTGCGTTTAATATTCATCAGGTGATCTGATAAATTACATACAGTAATTATCCTGCGGAGCACCGCTGTATAGAAACAAACCTGGAGTTGATACTCACATGCAGGCGACCTGCGACGCGAATCCCAGCAGTGTTTAGTCACATATACCGCTAATGATGATGAAGATGCTGTCAGGAGCGCACCGTACATTCAAGCAAAATATTAAAGTAACTTATTTTAGGATACGATTCCAAGTTCGTCTCTGTGTATCACAGCACTAAAGCCGCATTAAATGGTCTGGATGCTTTCAGTACAGCCGGTGTTTCTCGGGTCGCCGCGGTTAAATGTGCGAATCGCCCGCTCCTGCCGTGATGAACCACCTAACAGCCCCGGTGACATGCGGAACAACCTTGCCGCCTCTGCTCCCTGGTCGGAATAACCCCACCAGCATCCCTTTCAGGATACACAGTAACTCCGCCGAGCTGCACACTTGCGGGTCCCCATTAACCAATCACGGGCCACCTGCAGACTGACGTGATGTGAGCGCCCCCTCTCGGCGAACGTGCCCACTTACAAGTGCCGCGGCGATAACATCACACAAGTTTCTCTTGGTATTGCCGCCACTGAATTTGATATGGAGGTGTATGCCACTAATTTCCCGCGGATCTTTAGTTTCCAGCTTTCTAGAGTTTTGGTTAATTGGGTTGGCGTTTAGGAAGTTCATCATCGCAATACTATTCAAATTCAGACCTGTACGGTGTACTATGAAGAAAGTTTTTCATATACAGTGTTAACGTCATGGAGCCAGGTTAACAGATTGCTACAATCAGCGTTAAATGATATGTAGCCAGTGGTTATCAACAGCGTAAATCAATTGTGAGTTCATCTGTGCGCATCCACATAAAGAGGACTATATTGGCACTGCAAACCAGAAGCCACCCTGATCGATAGGCAATACCCCTCAGTAAAAGAGGCCCGATGCTAAATATTGGTGTCAGGATAAAAAACCATGGTATTACATGGTATAAAATCAGTGGTATCACCTCTTCTATTTAACCATAGCTCACATGGAACGTCTTTTTCTTGGTGAAAGGATGAAGCAATAAAAAAGGCCAATAGGATATTGGGGTATATCTCCAGGTGTGTGGAGTTTAAGTCAAGAGAGGTAATGCTAAGATTATACAATTCCTTGGTGAGACCTCACCTAGAATATTGTGTGCAGGTTTGGTCACCATATCTTAAAAAGGACATTGCGGCCTTAGAAAAGGTGCAGCGTAGGGCCACAAGAATGATTCCTGGTCTTAGAGGAATGTCATACGAGGAAAGGTTATTTGAGCTAAATCTGTTCAGCCTCAAGCAAAGGAGACTGAGGGGGGACATGATCCAGGTCTATAAGATTCTAACAGGTTTGGATGCTGTTCAACCGAAAAGTTACTTCAGCATTAGTTCAAATACAAGAACTCGTGGCCATACTGTAGGTGCAAATTAGCGGGAGAACATTTCAAACTGGATTTAAGGAAGCACTTCTTTACACAGCGTGTAGTCAGAGTATGGAATAGTCTTCCTGAAAACGTAGTGCAAGCTGAATCCTTGGGTTCCTTTAAATCAGAGCTAGATAAGATTTTAACAACTCTGAGCTATTAGTTAAGTTCTCCCCAAGCGAGCTCGATGGGCCGAATGGCCTCCTCTCGTTTGTATAGTTCTTATGTTCTTATTTGTATATACATTTTTGGTGAAAGGATGAGACTGGGGCCTGTTTCAGTCCAAAGGCCTGCACTATGATATACACCATTTAATCGAGCTACAATTTGAAGTGACAAACACTCCGAAGCCTCAAGAAACCAACTCACTGAGCTCACACCAGTCAGGACTAGGTACAAACTTAACAGCTTAGATACTATTGAGTATTGAGAAATGCCTTGTGATTTGGTACCAAACTCCAACACCTAAGGAGTACATCATCTGCACGTACAGCACACGCACGGTAAGATACCCAAAAACCTTCTGTCGAAATTGCTCAGTATAATGCACGTTGTCATGAACCGTTTGCCTGCCTTAGCGAAAATTTGAGAATAATCTGGCAAACCATGATTAATTTATAGCCTAAAATATGCACATCAATCCTTTGTAAATATCTTGCAGATTTACAGCCCATTAACCCCTAGATGGTTCATTAGCTTGGTTTTACTAGAAACACTGAGTAGCCACAATGGATTGAATTCAATGGTCCTACTTCAAGGAACAGTATTTGAATAAGATGATTTTAGCCCCAGTTATTTTGAACCCAGAAGGTATTAGAGTAATCTATATTGAAATGTAGGCTGTTTTTGCAAATCCACAAGCAAATCGATCTGTTTTTATAAGTTTATACTTTTGGATCAGTTATGCTACTGCATGACACATGTAATTGTGTACTTGCATACATACAGTGCTCAGACTGTTGTGGGACAAATTTATTGACTTAAGTAATTCATTTGTAGTATTGAAACTCATAAGATGGAACAGCTCTTTTGGAACTAAGTACAGTGTTAGTAGTTTAATTGGGTGCTGTAATTAGCAACACCTTTGCAATAACAAACCAAACATTTTAGTGTCCCTTTCACAGCTGATGACTACAATCACAATAGTAAAAGGGCAAGAACAGAAGTCAGTCAAAAAAAAAATACATTTAAGGTTGACAAATCGGCATCCATGTTCTCCAGCCCTAAAGCAACACAAGTACCCCCCTGCACACCAACAAGAGGCTGCATGAGAACGCAAGAACCACACAGATTCAGGTCTCGGTCATCTTTATTGAGCTTATAGAATAGCATGCCTTATTGTCATCGCACAAATGTACAACAAAACTAGGTGTGTCCCCCGAAACAGATTCACACTAGCATAGCTCTGCATATTAAGCTACACATACAAAGTAAAACCACGAATACAGGCCAATAAACTGTTTCTGTGCATATGTACATACAAAGTGGGAGTACATAAATGAAGTGGTTCCGTGTGTGTGTGTGTGTGAGAAATACATTACCCACAAGTGCTCAAAGCTGCTTCAGATCAGCCCACAAACCCTAAGGAGAGAAAGTTCGGAGCATGCTCAGTCTGCACCAATACCACACAAGAGAAACTGTTTCAGGTCTTCTTGTCAGGTTACAGCAGCATACATCCACTTTAACCTGTGCCAAAGTCCTGCTGTTTCTGTCCCAAGAAAAATCATCATAACAAGGAAAATAGCCTCTGCTATGACTGTACAGACTTGGGTGCTCATTGGCCAGACAAACGAGGTCCATAAGATTACCTGTGCTGGAGTCCCACACGCCCACAGATCTGAGTAGATCCACTGAGATGGCCAGCTGCAAAAACAGGATAGCACCACCTTCAGTTACTAGGGGGAAATTAACTTGGCAGCGACAAGACAGCTAGACTGGGGGGAAAAAAAAAAAAGAACTGGAGGAAATTCTTCTGCAGGACTGTGTTCAGGACTGTAAGTCTCCTCGTGGATATTCAGAATGATGTGTTAAAGAGCATCACCACACAGGTCAGGACTAAGAGACGCAGCTGACTGCCATGGCCAACACTTACCCTCGTTCTGCTGCTGAAATGACCATCCCAACGCCATCCTTTATGGGGGAGGGAAGAGGATACTGTTAAACAAGATCAAATTCCTACAGGAACACTGCATCATGCTAGTACAGGCTGTAAATGTGAGCCCCCAGACTAGGGCCATCCCCAGTTTGTGAGGGGGCTGCCCACTCTCAGGGGGGCATGGTACCACCGCGGCTGGGCATCAGCAGACACTAGAACAGCGCCTCCCAGAGCCCAAGCCTAGTGGCAGCACCTTCCTCTCCCAGCAGAGTAACACTGAAGCAGGCATGGCACAAACCTGCACAGCTGACTGCCGCTGGGGGGGGGGTTTACACACAGCAACATCGTTCAGCCTGCAGTTTCACTTACAGGACCTTAGGCAATTAAAGAATAAACTCGGCTTGAAATCGTTCCATAAAGCTCGCCACCTACTGGACTTAAGAGAACTGGGTCATGCTGTCAGGACCACTTTTCTATAGGGTGCAGTCAGTCACATTACATCTAAAAAAGGCAACAACGCCTATACCAAGCGCCCGAGCAACTACACTGCAGGCCACGTGAGCATCGATGTCGAACTTAAATTCAAAGTTCAGCTCAGTTTTGGAATTTTGCGCAACGGTAACGTAAAGCGCTTTGAGATAACGTAATGTTGTAAAAAAAAACGCGTTAGACAAATAAGATTGAATTGGAAAAAAATGAATATCGGAGGTAACAACCACAAAGCTTAGCCAGCTTAGTACTACACGGCTGAAAAGCAAAAAAAAAAAAACGCGGTAAAAGTAATTGTTTTAAAGAAATATTAAACTAAGTCAGTTATTAAAATAAAGGATAGGATACGCACGCTGTGATCTGGGAAAGATACGCTGAGGTTTGTGATATAATTCACGATATAGATACACACGTGTAATAAAATTAAACACTTGCTGCAGTCACGCTAGAGACAAACCACCGAACTTCACCTCCACATTTAGCAATGAAATCGTGTAACTAAAAGAAAACTACAGAGGACACGAATACTCACCATGCACTTCGGGCGACACGCTGGGACCGAAAAGACCGCGCCAGTGGATCGCATGGTCCTTTATACGTCTGAGAGACGGCGTGTCAGAGTCCGCCGCGAGGGATTGTGGGATATGTATGCATTCCGCCCGCAGCGGCTCCTGACACCCCACCCCCGTGTGCACGCACATGATACGTCACTGCGCTTCGCCACGTTTTCGGTCAGGTCTTTTCAGGTGGATACCAAAGAAAACATGCTGAGCATGGAAGCAAGTGTAAGAAATCATGACACCGCCACACTCGTAAGCTTTAAATTTTATTATAAAAGTCTATGATGGAAGCATTTAAGTGTGTCCATACTTTTCAGAAACATACACCCAAATCCTCAGTTTAAACCATTAGCCATTATAATTATATTATTACCTCACAAGAATACCGGTACAACGTTACCGGGTTTAATAATTAAAGCAAAATTGTATGTTTTAAAAAACCAGAAAAACTACCCCTTTTCTGTGGAACTTATTACACAACACCAGATTGCTGAGGCTTCATTGCCTATTTATTTTGCCCCATGTAAGCAGAAACTTTAACACCTTCCCTTGCTGTACTGGGTTTGCGTAAAGATTTCCAGGGTAAAATGAAAATGACGTTTTGTAGGACAGACCGCTGGCCCAGAGGCACGATTCACTGACTGGTGCAACTCATTATGGTGTCTTTGTAAAGAGAACGAAATTAAATGCACCGGGAGGGCAATTTATCCCATAATGTGACTGGCTGATTAAGAGCTAGATGTGATCTCAAAGACCCCCTTTAAAAAGTACACTAAGTGCATGTCTCTTTCACAACTCAATAACAACCCAAACCTGGAGGCCAAAGAGTGCAGGTCAGATTGAGACAAGCTTCCATTTTCACACTTGAAGAAAAGTGTAAGGAAAGGGGAACAGAAAGCTGAATAGCATTCCCCACCCCAGTCAGTGAAGGGTACAGCCTGGGACAGGACTGTACATGCTGACTCTGGCCACAATGGCAGGGAACCAGACAACAGCAACAGCATTTTACTACATCACAAAGACAGAGGGGCAAGCAAAAAAAAAAGACAAGATACATTTTTGGGAATTAAATTAAACATAAGGGGAGCACAGATAATGGCATTCATTATACCTTAGAGCTTACTGAACAAAACACAGTATGTGAAAATGGCGTGAATGCAACAGGCGCTCAGGACAACATCCAGTCCATAACCCCAAGCCCTCCAGTCCCACTGTCTCCATGACAACTACAATTGCAAAGGCTCTATTGCTGTCCTTCCTTCTTCTCTTCTCCACCAGCTCCCGAGCTGCTGCCGCTACTGCTTTCCCTCTCCGAGGCCATCTACAGGACAGGAGGTGGCAATGAAGCGAGTTGCATTCTCAGCTGCAGCAAGCCAAGCACCATTAAAACTCAGTGTCTACAAAATATCAAGTTCATGCCCAAGGAAAAGACAGAACTCACTGTTTGCTCTGGAGCATTACAGCCAGTGTGCGAAATACCCGTCAATATTCGGGGGGGGGGGGGTCCCCATCTCCCTATTGTTCCGCAAGACCGATCTTGAGACCCCCTTAAAATTTTGCTTTTGGGGCTTTCAGGGGCTCTCATAGGTTAATCGGGGGTGTCGGACCCCCCCCAAACCTCCCCACATTTCGCACACTGATTACAGCACATGGTCAGCACTTACCTTCTTGTATGCCATCTCAAACAGTTTGAGAGAAGCCTGTTGGAGGTTTGTGGCTGCTTGCTTGATGCTCTCTCCGGTCTCTGTGTCCTTCCTAGAGAGGAGGTCCCTCACCTTGGTGATCTCCTCCTTCAGCTTGTCGCACTACCAGAGTCAAAACGTTAGTCACTAAGAGTGTAAAAGACGTTCTCTCGTACACTTGAACATCAGCACTTCTCAAAGTCTCACCTCATCAGCAGGGAGCTGATCTTTGAACTCCTCCATCTTGGACTCCGTATCATGGATGATGCTCTCTGCCATATTCACGGATTCCACACGGTCCTGGGTGGGGTTTAAGGACAAATAAGAACAGCTGACGACATTTCTGGGGCTCCCATGTGGAGTGCGAGAGTGACGGCTACAGAGTTTGTCTCACGACAGCCGGGCACCAATTACAGTGCCACGTCTCTGAGAACGGACCACTTTAACAGGGAGTCATACCTTCCTCCTACGGTCTTCTTCAGCATACCTCTCCGCATTCTTGATCATGTTCTCAATATCATCCTTGCTGAGGCCACCAGAGGACTGGATAACGACTGGGAAAGGCAGCAGAGGTAGGATCGATTCAGCAAAAACCTCAAATACTTTGCCAGTGTCCACGCTGCTTCAGGCCTAGACGTGCATTTTAAAACTTCTCTGTGCTCAGCCATGGAGAATGTGTCCTCACTGAGGTCGGAATGATGTGTTGATAAAAACCATCATAGCACAGGGTCAGAATGGGGTAATGGGGGGGGGGGGCGGTATACAAACTCACTCTGCTGCTCACGGCCAGTGCCCTTGTCCTTGGCGGATACGTGGACAATGCCGTTTGCGTCAATGTCGAACGTCACCTCAATCTGGGGCACTCCTCGAGGAGCTGGAGGAATTCCCACCTGAGCATATAGGTATGTGGTTTAGGAATGGGGTGGGGGCACATAATTGAACTCATGATGTTCAGGTGCTCACAGATACGCACCAGGGTGAACTGGCCCAGGGTCTTGTTGTCTGCAGCCATCTCTCGCTCTCCCTGGCAAACCTTGATCTCCACCTGGGTCTGTCCATCAGCTGCTGTGGAGAACACCTGCAGATGGGCCAATCACATGAATGATTCCATCACACTGCATCTTCAGCTCGCAGTGAACTGAGCCACTGTCCCTCCGCAGCCCTCACCTGGCCCTTCTTCGTTGGGATGGTGGTGTTGCGGTTGATGAGCTTGGTAAAGACTCCACCCAAGGTCTCGATCCCAAGGGAGAGGGGGGTGACGTCTAGGAGAAGCACGTCTGTGACATCGCCAGCCAGAACCCCGCCCTGGATGGCAGCACCAATGGCCACCGCCTCGTCGGGGTTCACGGACTTGCTCGGGGCGCGGCCAAACAGGTCCTGGACGGTCTGCTGCACCTGTGGGTGGAGTCCCGGGTTTGGGGGGTGGGGTCAGAGGTGAGAGAACACACGGCGATTTGGCCGGGCAGCTCCGGAGAGAACACCACTCACCTTGGGCATGCGCGTCATGCCGCCCACCAGCAGCACCTCGCCAACGTCGCTCTTGCTGACCTCGGCGTCCTGCATGGCTTTCTGGCAGGGCGCAACCGTGCGGCGAATGAGATCCGCCACGATGCCCTCGAACTGCGAGCGTGTCAGCTTCATGTTCAGGTGCTTGGGTCCGGAGGCATCCATGGTCAGGTAGGGCAGGTTGATATCGGTCTGCATGGGGGGGGGGTAATGATGTCAGACTCACAGGGTGCAAATATGCTGTGAGCCCCCAGACTAGGGCCATCCCACATGTGTGGGGGGGACTGCCCACTCTCAGGGGGGCATGGTTCCACCATGGCTGGCCGTCAGGAGACACTAGAACAGCGCCTCCTAGAGGCCAGGCCTAGTGGCGACACCTTCCTCTACCAGCAGAGTAACACTGAGGCAGGCATGGCACAGACCTGCACAGCTGACTGCTGCTGGGGGGGGGGGGGGGGTAACAATGGAGGGTGTAGAGGCCTAACTCCACAGAGATGTGTCAACCATGATTATCTGGATGGAAGTTGCACCCTGACTTCAGAACCAGCCCTAGTGCCCCAAAAGGACACTGTTTTACCAAGCACCCTGTGGCAACGGGGCTCTGAACAGAACAGGCATTTCCATCACGGACCTCTTGCCAAGAAAGGTATATAACAGGGGCGTGCCGTGTGGCTGTTGGGTGGGATGCTGCATCTGTGTTCCGAAGGTCGCAGGTTCAAATCCCAGGATTGGGAGAGAGATTCCACCATCGAGTACTTAAACTCCGGCTCCTCCAGGGATCGTCTGACACTGCTTCAAAAAGTGCTCTTATCCAAAGCAATAGACGCGTACTAAATAAGCAAGCTCAGGCCACAGCCTCAACATTGATGATCAAATACATCTCACTATTCCACATATTTAGAGAACATTTTATTTCCAATGTTGAGATTATGGGTATGCAGATATCGGACTCTGGCAGTGTTGGCTTTACGAGGTCGTTAGCCAAGTGGGGAGATATTGGAAAATAAATCAGATGTTATGAATTTTGGGCTTTGCTGCCGCAGACCTGCCTTGCGATACTAATACTGTCATGAATTTGGCTGCAGGAGATCAGTGTCTGAAGGAGGAATAGCAGTTAGCTCTGATTGTTCAGTTTCACTAATGGCCCTGTATGTGAAAGTCAGCGCATGAGCTGTGTGTGATGAGAGGACAGCCGAAGGCGACAGAATCAAGCACGACTGGTTATTTGGTAACAGAATGGCAGATAATACTGAACCAAGATAACCAACACAATGTGACAGAAAGGGGGGGGGGGTAACTGTGACTAAACAAAGTCTGAGACTTTAACCCTGGATGTTTGGCCTGGTAAACACAGATCACCGCTTGTCCCAGTAGGGCTCCCCCATGTCACCCCCCTCCTCCCCGGGTATCTGGTGCACTGCAGGGCTTACCTGCAAAGAGGAAGAGAGCTCACACTTGGCCTTCTCTGCTGCCTCCCTCACCCTCTGAAGTGCCATGTTGTCTTTGGTGAGATCCACACCAGACTGCCAAGAACAGAAAGCGGCAGGGTTCTGTGACTTCAGAGCCATAACAAGTACAGCTGAGACCCCCGTCTGCCAGCCTTTGAGCCAATGGGCCCCACCTGGGCATATTTGTCTCTAACTTCACAGATATGACAGAGGACTGACCTCCCTCTTGAACTCCTTCACGATGTGCTGCAGAAGGTGCTGGTCGAAGTCCTCCCCGCCCAGGAAGGTGTCTCCGTTGGTGGACTTGACCTCAAAGACCCCCTTCTGGATCTCCAGGATGGATATATCAAAGGTGCCCCCTCCCAGGTCGTATACTGCAATACTAAAACAGCGACGAGTACGTTGAATGAGTTTTGTGAACAATGATGCAGATAAAAAGGAAGTCTGCTAGAACTACCTTGTTGAGGAACACGGCAACATGCCCTACAGAGTTAAGCACTGGCAAATGCACTTGTGAACCACAGGGCCAGAGAACCATACTGCAGTCGTCTTGGCAGTTTCTTGAGACTAAGGAACCCGCACTGAACACGGCACAGAGTCTCCCCCCAGAATGCAGCCGGTCTGGCTCCAGCACTCACATTTTGTCCTGGGTCTTGTCCAGGCCGTATGCTAGCGCAGCGGCGGTGGGCTCATTGATCACCCGCAGCACGTTGAGCCCGGAAATCTGACCGGCATCTTTCGTGGCCTTTGCAGAAATGGAAGCCCGTCATACAAGCGAGAAACGCATGACTACATTAAGCCATTATGACACGGCTCCATAAAGGTGGCTGACAAACTAATGGGATGAAAAACAGGATCCCAGCCGGTGTTCAGGAGAGACCCCTCACCTGTCTCTGGGAGTCGTTGAAGTATGCTGGCACAGTGACCACGGCGTTCTTCACCGAGTGCCCCAAGTAGCTCTCTAAATACAGCACAGAAACACTAACATTTACTACCAGAGGAGAATATTTTAAGCTTATGTGCACACACTACATTGCTGTGCATCCTACATCTGGTTTTCTAACCTTAATAAATAGATGTATGAATTTAACAGCACTTTTAATTTCTTGTTTGCTTTCTGCATTTTTGATTTCTGAAAGTCTGCAGGAAACTTGCAACCTTCCAGCTCACCTGCCGTCTCCTTCATCTTCATCAGCACGAAGGCTCCAATCTGGCTGGGTGAATATAGTTTACCATGAGCCTCGAGCCAAGCATCACCATTCGAGGCACGGACAATCTTGTAGGGCACATTCTTCCTGTGGAGACGAGGCACACCTTTCAGTCAGGATGATCAAACTTCAGACACGCCCCCAAAATATTCTTGTACAGAAGATAGTGAAGCGGAACTCACATGTCCTTCTGGACTTCTGGGTCGTCAAAGCGGCGTCCAATGAGCCTCTTGGTAGCATAGAGCGTGTTTTTGGGGTTGGTGACAGCCTGGCGCTTGGCTGGCATTCCCACCAACCTCTCACCCTCTGCGGTAAAGGCCACTACGGAGGGCGTCGTCCTTGCACCCTCCGCATTTTCAAGGACCTGGGAATCAGAGCAGCCCACATCACTGTGATGTGAAACATCAGTTTATCTATGCTGATCCACCTTGTCCCAGCTGACTTCCTACCTTTGCCTGTTTACCCTCCATGACAGCCACACAAGAATTAGTGGTTCCAAGATCAATACCGATGACTGATCCTTTGATTGCTTCGGACCTTCAATAAATAAAAACAAACAATTAAAAAAGGTAAAATGTGTGACAGACCCTCCAACTACCTAGACACTAAGGTCACGTGGGTAGTAAATCAGAAAAAGCCTTGAAAACTCACGCATAACAACGCCTGGCCACGACCCCAGTGGACTCAAAGCTCCACGGACTCCAGCAGGCCTGTGAAACAAGTGTACGCAAAAAGAGAATATCGTTAAGAAAAGTGTGTTCTGCCCCCCTCAGTGAAACAAGACGGCCAAGTCCATGAATGAGGCAATCGGTCCTGCTCTTCCATCAGACAGGCTGAAGGTCAAAGATGCTCCACACAGTCGGTTCTTTAAAGCGTTACACCGAATGACCTCCTCATGGTCGGGAACGACTCAGCTAAGCTCAGCATACGCAGTATGGCCCGCTGGCACCGGCTACAGCAGCCTGCGGGCACTGCTGGCTCCAGAAACACTTCACAGCGCAGGAAAACGTAGCCAACATTTTACACACCTCTAACATACTGCTTTCTATAGTTCTTCAAATCTGAGTAAATTAGACAGTCGGCATTTTTAAAAAGATTCACGTGACAGGAGACCTCTTCTAATGTCTGGCCTTGGCCAACACAGACCCGGCGTGACATTTCTCCATACATCTGCCAGTACCCAACGATCCACAGATGTTCAATACCACTGTAGTCGTAGTTTTTAACTTGTACCTTTTTTACCAGTGACGTGACGCTTCCAGCACCATTCTGGGAGCAGCTGAGCGCCCTCGACGCGTTTCTGGCCACATTCAGCATCATCATGGCGACAGCGTTTAAACTTGAAAAACAAGCTACTCTGGTGTAAGCGAAGAAACGGCGCTGAATCAGCTAAAAGCGCGGGCTGGAGCTGTTTCGGGAATGTAGCGAAGAACCGATAAAGTGAAGAAGCCTCCGATGCCTCTCGTATAGCTGAGTTCCCCCGCACAGTACACTGCTAGCAACCCGCAGTCGCCGACTTCTTCTGGAATTATCCAGCACGTGGGTCATGCCGAGGACTCGGACGGACCCCTATTTAGCGGGTCAGTGTGTGCCTGAGCTGATTTCAAACAGGAACGAGCAGGAACTACAAACTTTTACCTATTCTCCGACGTTTAACATGTTTATATATAACAAAAGAAATAAATATCGAAAAAAACTACTTTGTGTGCATAAAGTTAGTATTTTGAAAGGGGACTTTGATACGGCTTCTCTTAAGGGTACTTCAGGTCCTTCATAAAATATGCGTATTTGAAGGTCACTCCGAAAAAAAGGTAATATTACATTGTAGTTACATCAGAGGCCTCGATGTATGTGGTTAGGCTGAAAGCGACGTGTAGCGGTGTTATTCCGTGTTTTTCTTAGCTGCAGTTATATTATTAAGAAGTTATCAAAGCGATCTAAGTACACATTGCTTAGTCACACATTATTTAAGTATAATTTTAAAATGATCTACAACGAAAACAACATTGGTTTCTGATTAATAATTAGTGTAAACACATAACTCTTAATGGAAATTAACTAGCCAGACAATGGCATTCCGATGTCCCGATCTGTTTAGTCACATATACTTGTAAATGTACTGCATTTCTACGACTGTTCAGTCACGCCTCAGCTAACTATGCCATGACGTCGCAGTTTTCACCGCCCCCCCCATTACAAAATTAAATGTAATTAATGTAATTGTTTACGGTTTCTTTTATACCTTAATCTAGGTTAATCTGCTGAATGATAATGAGTTACTGAAATGCGTTTAAAGTATACATATAGTAACCTTGCTGCGCATGATAATGAGTGGACGCGGGAGATTGCGTAGATAACTGATGTCAGGTCAGGCGCTATTTGTGTAAGCGTAGTCTGATCAAAACCGCAGATAACCGTTTATGTGGGTCAAAGCAATAGTTCTAGCAGCAAAAGTGCATATACATATAGATTTTAGTCATTTAAGGAGCAAACTACACAGCCGTCATACGTGCTTAAACAATAATATGGCCTGAAATATGTTGCCACTATATGGTTTATGTTATGTAAGTGTTCCTTATTGCCTAGGCTGGTGGGAATTTTTGTTTGCACAGATTGTTAGTTTTGGGCACAACTTCTTTGAGGCTTTTTTGCTCTTTGCTGTAGTTTTTTCTTAATGCCAGAATCCAATCCACCATACCAAACTGTGCTTTCTCTGACGGAAGTGTAGTATTGTATAAGAAGGCGACTGGCTCTAAAGTGCTTTAGCTGTCTGAGGAAATACAATCTCTGGTTTGTCTTCTTGTGTCCGATTTGACCTGCCATTTTAGGGGCCTGCAGATGGAGGTGCCCAGAAAGATTTTGTTACTGTAAATTGTAGACTGTTGATATGGAGTGGGGCTTTAGTGCTCTGTGAGTGCCTGAAGTCCACAATGATCACAGAAATTTTGGATTAATTGAGCTGAAGGTTATTGTCAGTGCATCAGGTGACTGTCCCATCCACGTTGTTGACAGAAATGATGCCAGTGATGGTGGTATCAGCTGCATATTCGATCATTTTTATAGAATTGTGCTGTGGAATGACCTCATTAGTTAACAAGGAAAGGAGAAGTGGAGAGTGCAGGCAATCTGTGGTGCTTCAGCGCAGGTGGGGGGCAGACTGAAGTGCTGCTATAATGAATAATAGCAAATCAGTTTGATCCAAACCAATTTTTATTAAAACGACTGATATAACTATGTTTGTTAACTATGTTTGGTTGCACAGCAGGAATAATAATAATAGATACTTCATTGATCCCCAAAGGGAAATTGTCTTTACACCTCCCTCAACTTGCTCTTTTTTTGTAGAGTAAATTGTCCACAAAGGGTAGCCACCCATAGTGGCACCCAGGGAGCTGGGGGTTAAAGGACCCACCACTGTACTGAGGCTGGATTTGAACCGGCAACCTTCTGATTACAGGTACAACCCACTGAGCCACACGCTGCCCTGAATCACTATCGCCTCACACCTCCAGGCTTGGGGATGTGAATCCCAACATTATTGTACAGTTTCCATGTTCTCCCTGAGTCACATGGGTTTCCTCTGGGTTCTCTGTGTTTCATGCCTTTGTCCAAAGACATGCAGTTAGCTTGTGGCCCATGTGTGTGTGTTTGTGCCCTCCAATGGACTGTCAGTGGCCACTTATTGAACCGCTGGGCCCGTGACCATCTACAGGGTACTTTTACCTTGAGAACCTACAGCCCCTTCAAGCCTCCTGGGAGCAGACATCTGTAAAGGGAGGAGAGAAGCACACTGGCCAGAGGCCTGCCCTCTGTAGCAGGACCAGGCTGTTTCTCACCCTTGGAGATGACAGAGACCACATCTCCAGTCAGGATTAAAGGGCACTGGTGGGATTTTGGGGAGGGATAGGAATGCATCAGAAAAAGTACCAATTTCTACCTTTCAGAGTACAATTACTTTTCACTGGGGCTGTACCCTGAAGGGTATGCCAATTGTACCATAGCTGTAGATAAATGTACCTTTTTAGTTTATTTTTTAAAAGGAAAATGGAACAGAAAGTGGTACAGAAATGGACTACGAGGAATATTTTTCTATCATTGGGGGTACATTAATGTTGTTTGTACCTTGGGGAACAAAACTGTAAAAGGGCAGTAATTTTTTTCTGACAGTGAAGGAAAGCGTTAAAATCGAAATTTAACCTTGCTTATGTACGTGCCATTTAATAAAATCCCTCAGCTAGCAAGGTCAGCAGAATACCATAAATACCACAACTTGTTTGATTCTTAGAAATTTTGTTTGAAAATGCCCGACTAATTCTTACCAGAAGATGGCGCCATAGCTATTCAGTGTGACCCAGACTAGTGCACATTTCAAGGGTCGGTGATACAGCACATTCCAAACACGTAAAGCCTGCAATTTTTTTATAAGAAGAAGTGATTATGCTAAAGGCCAACGTTTTCTGCACAGCATGAGAAAAGTGCCTTTAAAAAGTTATTTCAAGCAGAAGTAGTTGTTGTGAACACCATATGAACAGATGCAGGCAGAGCCAGACAAAACAATAATGTAAACCCTAACACTGTCATGTGCTCTGGGCGCCAGCTGTCTAATTTATGTCTCTTTATTGTTCCCTGTGGGCCTGCTCTCATGAGTCTGTAGATGTTTAAATGTACTTTACATGAAAATAAAAATTTTGAATTGAATTGAACTTTAAATGAGCCCATAAAATTAGCGAAAATAATCAGTCCCTGGGTTAAGAACATCTGACTTATGTGTAAGTTGTCCGTACGAACAGACTGCCATAAAGCCTATTACATTAAACATTCACTTTGTGCCCTGTGTGAAAAAATTGCGCAGCTTCAGTGGTTTGTCAGCTCGAGGTACAGTTCAGTACCCTATGTAGTCACTTTTATTATTACTGTATAATTAATATTATGTACTGTATTATTATTTTTCTCACTTACCTACAAAGTTGACTTGAAGACAGACTTAGGTAATGGATCTCATTCACAACCTAGATACTGCCTGTAATAAAAAAAAAATGCTTGAAATGGATCATAAAGCAAACATGAACTTGAATATCCTGAGATTTTGTAATGTTTAAATAGAATTCTGAAAATATATTTGGAATGCTTATGCATCAGTGCCAGTGGGTGTTTATT